CCACATGAATGAACTAATCAGTGAGCTGTACAGATGTGACCAGCAAGGAGCCTTTGGTCTGTCAGGACAGTCTGCCTAAGTCAAGAGGAGGAACAGAATGTAATCCTACCTCCTGCACAACTGTCTTCAGGCTGAGCAGCACTATGATATGCTACTAGTTTCCGGTTCACAAAGCACCCTTGCTTCTTTTTTTCCCTTGCCCACTGGATCAAAACAGCTAGAGCAAACCAAGCTCAGTGCAGAGCCTTGGGGATGGCAACAGGATATTATTTTGCTTCAGATGACTGTGAGACACATAAAAAAAACTTACAACCTTTTTTTTTTTTTCTTTCCTAGTGACACTTCAGTTACTATTTTACCACACATAGAGCTGTGTCAACACAGTTGAGATAAAGTTTCTGTTCTTGACTGGTTCTGAGTACCACAGTGGCCAATTCTACTTCATGACTGATGACACCACAGCTAGGCTGGAGGATGAGCCAGCTTCCAGGAGGGTGGCTGATGAGAAGCCTTGGCAGAGCAGCCCAGGCAAAGATGCTATTACTAATGCAGGAAGTATAGCAGAAACACCACCAGCTTAGCATTTGGATTGGAAATGAGCAAGTGATTGACACAAGCTACTTCCTAAAGTGTTCTGGAAGCAGTAGAGCAAGTCCAGCAAAAAGCACCAGCAAATGAAGGCAAGAGCTAGCAAGAAGGAGGACACAGCTCTTGGCCCTTCAAGCATCATCATGAGAGTAATGTGTGGCCTCTTCCAAGCTTAGTTCTTCTGTGGCACTCTGGGTACACAGCTACAGCAAGCAGTAAAACATATTCTGTGCCAGAGAAAAATGAGGTTTGTTTGTTTTTTCTCACTTCTTAGTGCTCCATATGGGATACAGTTTCCCATTTTGGGGAATGAAGTGAATAGGCAGCTGTAGAAATCAAGGCTATAGTAGCACAAAATAGCTTCCATAAATACCAGCATAGTAATCAGACCTGTCTTAACCTGAGTTGATGTTTGCAACTACTTCCAGTCTTTCAGTTTCAACACAAAATTCATATATCCAAGCTTATAGCCTAGTTCATTACAATTCTTCCCACTGTGCACCAAGAAAGTAGGACTTGCTTTTTCTGTGAAATCTAGCAGCTCCACAATTCCACAGGTTTGCTGTGAAACTGAGAAATCCCACTGCAGACACATTTAAAGATGAGGCTGCTCTCATTATGCTTCTACCTGTAAAACTGAATGGCACTAACTGTCCTCTCCTCCTCATGCTTTACCTACTACCCAGCAGCAGTGCAAATTTGCTCAGCCCAGAGGAGTAAACTCCATGATCCCAAACCTGCTTTGAACTTGCAGTGTGATGCAAGATTCAGCAAAGCCAGCAGCTTGCTTTACGACCTTTTAAGTAGCAGCTTCACCTGGGAAGATGTGTTCCTGCTCCCATTCATGACTGGTTTGTACTCAAAGCATTCATAAGGCACACTGATAGAAGAAAGGTTTGATTTAAGCCATCATTTTCCAAAGCCACATATAAAGAAATGCCAGGTTCTATGTTTTCTTGGGGAGTAAGATGAGCACTATTATAGTGCCCAAAGAAAGGGGGACTTCAACCACCCTGATACCTGCTGGCAAGACAACACAATAGGACATAATCAATGTAGGAGGGTCCTAGAGTGCATCAATGGCCTCTTCCTGACCCAAGTGATAGAGGAGCCAACAAGGAGCGCTGCTCTGCTAGATTTCATAATCACCAAGCAGGGGCTTGTTGGGACTGTTAAGGCCAAAGGCAGCCTTGGCTTTAGTGACCACAAGACAGTGGAGCTCAGGATCCTGAGAGGAAGGAGCAAGGTAAAAAGCAAGTTCTCAACCCTGGGCTTCAGGAGAGCAGATGTTGGTAGCTTCAAAGTTCTGCTTGGAAGCAGCCCATGGGCTAAGGCCCAAGAAAGCTGGTTAATATTCAAGGTTCACCTTCTCCAGGCTCAAGAGCATTCCACCCTAGCAAATAGGATGTCAGGCAAAAACGGCAAGAGGTCTGTGTGGATGAACAAGAAACTCATGGCCAAACTCAAACACATCAAGGAAGAATCCAGAGGGTTCTTCCTTCTTCTTACCCATCCAAGGATGGATAAGTTTGGAGCAACACAAAGATACTGTCCAAGCTTCCACGGATGAAGTTATAAAAGCTAAAGCTCAACTGCAGTTGAAACTGCTTAGGATTGTTTAAAACTAGGACTTCTTTGAGTACTTAAGTGGAAGAAGCTGAATTAAACTGGGGGAATCTGGTTACACAGGACATGGAAACAACTGAGGTGCTGAATACCTTCTTTGCCCCAGTCTTCCTAGCAACACTGGCCTTCAGGAATCCCAAACGCCAGGGGAAAGTCTGAAGCAAGGAGGATGTACCCATGGTGGAAGATGATCAGGTCAGGGAAGAATTAGGCAAGCTGGACGTACCTAAATCAGTGGGCCCTGATGGGATGCACGCACAAGTGCTGTGGGAGCTGGGAGATCTATCATGGTGATTGGGAGAAGTGCTTGAAGACTGGAAGAAAGCAAATGTTACTTCTGTCTTCAAGAAGGGCAACAAGGGGGATCCAGGGACCTACAGGCTGGCCAGCCTCACCTCAGCCCCTGGGAAAGTGATGGAGCAGCTAAACCTGTAGACCATTTCTAGGCACATAAAGGGAAATAATCAGTAGTAGTCAGCATGGCTTCACCAAGGGGAAGTCATGCTTGACCTACTTGATAAAATTCTGCAATCAATGTATATAAAAACCTGACAAGGGGGTGCAGAGACAGAGAGAAGCCCTTTCCAGTGGTGCCTAGTGAGAGGACCAGAGCCAATGGGAACACACTGAAACACAGGAGGTTCCCTCTGAACATCCAGAAACACTTCTCTGTGAGCAATTGAGCACTGGCACAGGTTTCTCAGACATGTGGTGGAGTATCCAGTCCTTCCAGCCTCAGATATTCTGCCATTCTGCAAATAAAACTTGAAAGAACAGTTGTTGATTTGGGAAGACAGGAAAGGTGTAACTATTTGGCAGCAGCACACGCCTTCTCCCAGACAAGCAACTGCCATTTCCTTCCCAACAACACAGAGGCAGTATCAGAAGAATTTGTTACTACACAGGGAGCAGTTTTACAGACTAGAGGCACACAGAAACCGAGGGTGGCTTCATTACCTTGTTCCACAGTGCGAGCAGCACCTGTAATAGGCGACACTGTTACACTCCCATCACTTCAGCAAGCATCCACCTCCTTGTATCTTCCTCCACAAGGAGCCAAGGAATTTCCACATATCACTCTTCCTCTGCCCCTGAAATTAAGCTTTTAGCCAGCTTTCTCCTTCAGATTTACCTAAAGCCTATATCTTTCTCCTTGATGTTCAGATCCAAGCTAGCTCAGCCCATCTCTGACAAGGCACCACAATACAGGTCATAGAGATTTATGACTAGCCAGAGAAAAGGCAGTAGAGCCCACAGCATTCACAGGAACTGCAGAGGGAGTAACCATGCTTCAAAAGCACTCCTAAAACCCTTGCAGACACTAGGCACAATTTTGTGACGAAAAGTTGTACTTGAAGAGCATCTATAACTTACTTTAAGCATCATCATTGCCATCAACCTCTGCAGCATTGTTTCTTTCTC